TAAATACATGGGGATTATTATTCCTGGGAAAATATCCTGTCTAGCATATAAGAATAATTCAATTTATATTACCCAGGTGAAAAGGGATTCTAAGAGGATGATGAAAATACCACTAAGTTTGTGGGGAGGAATTAATATGTTGAAAATGAGAGCAGTGCCTCTGTTGATTAATTTTTGGTGGAAGGAACAAATATGTGGGATTTTTAAGGTATTTAAGGAATATTTAATATATTTCATAAAACTCAGTTAATAAAAAAATATTTGGAAAGCTTATTAGTTGGCTGTCATTCTTCCTAGGCCCCAGATGTAATAAATTTGAAGGAGCCTTCAACATGCCAACTAGCAATTCCTTATTGGTAAAATATTATCATTATAGTGAATCTGGTCCTTGGAAGGAAGTTAAGGGTACAAATGTTAATGTGATATTAAGCTATATTCTAAACATTTGGAAATTCTCAGTTTATGAAGACCTTTGGAAATACTGTGCTTGGACCCATACAAAGAAGGTAAATCATGTATTCTTGGAAGCGTGTTTGTGTCTCAGACTGTAAAAGTTGGCTTCATGACATCTGTGACCGCTTAGCCTGACTTTTCATCGAAGGAGAGGCAAGATCAAATAAGGGAGCCAGTTTGCTCTAGTGATTAAGGTCCCAGGCTAGAAACCAGGAGATGGTGAGTTCTAGTCCCACCGTAGGCATGAAAGCCGGCTGGGTGACTTTGGGCCAGTCCCTCTTTCTCAGTCCAACCCACCTCACAAGGTTGTTGTTATGTGGAAAATAGGAGGAAGAAGGCATATTAGGTATGTTCGCTGCCTTATTTATAAAAATAATAAAGAGGGGATAAAAATTTAAAGAAAAAAAGATTCCATGGGGCCAATTCATTATTTAAAAATGGAATTGTATGAATAAGGAATTCATACTTGAAACTATAGAACAGTAATATGATTTTGAAACCTGAACAGTATTTTTGTGTTTCGTTTGTTTTTTTATTTGCGTTTGGCTTTTGCTTCATTTTTTTCCTTGGTTTCTTTGTACTGTTTTGGTTTTTCGACTTTATTCTTGTTTTTAAGCATATCGTTCGTTTTATAATAATTGTATAGTTTACATATATATTTGTTATTAACTACTATTAATAGGCATTGTCTTTTAAGAAAATGTAATTATAATCCTTTTTTTCTCTTTTTTTTAAGGAAAGTCCTGTCCTGCCTTTACCGAGAGTTAACACTGAACCCCTCCCGCTGCTACTTCTCTCTTTCTTTCTGCAGCCATTAATGGTTATGTCTTTGGGAACCTCCCTGAGATCACAGTGTGTGCCGGGGATCGTGTGTCGTGGCATCTCTTTGGGATGGGCAGTGAGATTGACGTCCATACCGCCTTCTTCCACGGACAGACTCTGACCGTCCGAGGACACAGGACTGATGTGGCCACCCTTTTCCCAGCAACATTCGTGGCAGCTGAAATGGTCCCTCACAACGTTGGCAAATGGCTGTTGACCTGTGAGGTCTCTGACCACTTGCAAGGTAAGGCACCTTCCCCCTTGGGAGTCACTGTCACAGCAGAGGACACGGGCTCTTCTCCACTTTGCATGACCAGCACAAAAGTGGGCAAACTGCAGACAGCTGAGCATGGAGCAGAAGGTCATGAGAGCAGAGTGAAGAGCTGAACCAAATCCGTAACATGTTCTTCTTTCAGGGCCATGCTCTAAATCAGTTGTCCGCAGGATATGGTCAAAGAAGTCAAGATGGCAGCTGGGACAGTACAGGCTCTTTTTATGTGTGGCTTCTATCGCACCATCCTCACAGCCTCTACCTTAACTTTTTCACCAGATTCTGAGGACACCCCTGCTCAGTGCGTTTGATGAAGTACATTATGATCCATGAAAGAGATGATGGTGAAATTGTGTACTCCCCCCCCCGCCCCCAAAATAATTAGATACCACTTTGGCGACTTTTTCCAGAAATTTATAGGTATTACATTGTGAACATTTTCTGGATCTAATGCTTTAGGAGAGGGCCCTCTTCCCAAAGATAGGAAAATTGACTCAAAAATGACTCAAGGGAAACAACAGAGAAGGCAGGGGGAACGAAAGCTAGAATAAACGGACAGACAGTGCAACTTCATGCAATCTTAAGTGTGATTTTTGCATGATCAATACTTTCACTAATGATGTGAATAATTATGCTTATCAAATGTACCAATGATACAGAATTGGATAGGGTAACTAAAACTTTAGAAGATAGGCATAACATTCAGAATAATCTTGATAGAATAGAGAAATGGCCTGAAAGAAACAGAATAAAATTTAGCAGAAACAAGTACAAAGCACTAAGAAAACAAAAATAAAATGCACAGACACAGGATGAAGGATACAGGACTCAATAATTATATTTGCAATAAAGAAATAGTGGCTGATTGTAAATTGAATATGAGCCAGTGGTGTGATGTGTGAGATTTGCCCCGTTCGACAGAGAAACTCTCGTGACACGTGTGGTTCACAAAGA